TTCAAGAGTTTTATGGAGGTCTTAGTTTTACTGACCGCACACGAGGTGTAAGCAGATAATAGTTCCATGAGTTTTGGCTGTGCGGTCGGTCTCTGTTCGGGACTTTGAAATGCATGAAAGTACATAAAATTATGGTTCGTGTTTTAGTTTGTGAAATTCCTCTCATTCGTGTAATACTTTCTACCGAATGCTGCTCTGTTCCCTTGAGTTCCCACAAACTTACATGAGGATGGAAGTCTCTGCGGTGTTTGTGCCATTGAGTGTCCGATTTGGGTTCCAGACACTCGATGACCAAACACCGCTGGTATAATTCGTATGCTAAGATGGCCGCCACCATGTGTTCGTATGACGAATGGCGGCCACCTAGAAGAACACCCAGTTTGTTCATGTGTTTGCAATCAGAGAGTGTGAACTAGGTTGGGGAGGTTAATTGGTGCCACGCTCCTCGCATGGGTGGCCTGGTTGTTCATTATTTAGTTTGTTTGCCAAACTATATAGTGGAAATAGCTGAACAGAGGGGTATTACAGAACAACCAGACAAATGATATAAGATGATAACTTGTTACTTGTTTTTACAAGTAACAAACAGTTGCAATCCCAATAAAATAAAGCAACAAAAAGGTTTATGGACAGCCTCTAGTATAAAAGGTGGATAGTAGCAAAGCCCATTCCGCTATACTCTACATTTGCCCTTCTGTGTTCTATATATATGCAGATCATCATTTTTTATTTTTCTCATATTAGATGATTCTGGTGTATCTCTGTCAGTTAAATCACTCATGCAGAGAGGGAACCCACTGGCGATTTGGATCGGTATTGAACTTATGTATGGGATCAATCTGAATTTCAGATGTTTGAGATTTTAGCAGGGATTAACCAAATGGCAAGCTACTTCTTGCCTGTTATATGCATGTCTACAAGAATTGATTAATAACTTATCTTGTAAACTAGTGGAGCTTCTGCAATATAACCCCACCCCCTTAGCCACATCATCCATTTTCACAAAACCATCTTCCTCATAGGAAGCACACAGTGTGATCAAGCCAATGAGAAATCTCTGTGAACTCTGCTGCCCCTCAGCCAATCACTGTCCTTTTATTTCTGTGTAGTATTTTAAAGCCATTAAAAGGGGAACTTGGCAGATGAGTTGACAGTGATATGTCATGTCAGCAACTCAACTCATACTGATCGCTTATTGGCTAAACTGTGTACATTTCACTGTTTGGCTAAGGTATAAACCTGCAAAAGATTTTTTTTGCCCACTAATCAGATGTGTGTTGGTATATGGAGTGATGCTTACATTTTCTTTTCTTAGATCTTCCAACACTTGTGCTTTACGTACATTGCCTGTGCACAGTTCTGCACAGATGTATTTTATTCAAAATGTTGTGGATGGGCAGCACGTAATAGTAAATAAGCTCCACCTTACATCTACATGATACCTCCAGTCACTCCAATAAAAACAGTTTTATGATCCCTAGAAACAATTTAAGAGCAATCATAGTTCTGGAGCTGTTATTTCTTTCACTGCTTCAACCTCTGCATAATTATATTTGGCGCCTGAAGAAAGTACAGGGTGTCATAGGAGGTTAAGGTTGGAGAGCATGTTCTGGGGTCAGGTCTGGAGGTATATATGATTCTGATAGGTTTCAAGTCCTGTAAAAGAAGCATGAAAGCCTGCAAATGACATTGTAGGTGCAGATAGTGTCCAGTATGTAGGTGAAGTTGCCTGCAAATGCAGCAGTGATTGAAGAAGTAGGATCTCGTGCTACAGCAGATGTTGGTTGTTAAGCAAAGACTGCTGATTCCTTTTGAATTGTGAATATATATATCTGCATTGAAAAACTGCACATTGGATGTACTTATTTCATACCTATTACTGTGCGGTAAGGGAGATGTTCTGGATTCCCTTGAGAATCTTCCATGTTCATGTTACTTAGTATCTCTTGTCTCTCTTCTAGGTCTTTTGGAGGGTTCTGTTGAACTGCTTTACTAGAAATTTTTGGAGGGAGGATTATATACAGAAGACATAGAAACATAGAATGTGACGGCAGAAAAGAACCATTCGGCCCATCTAGTCTTCCCAATTTTCTAAATACTTTCATTAGTCCCTAACCTTATCTTATAGTTAGGATAGCCTTATGCCTATCCCACGCATGCTTAAACTCCTTTACTGTGTTAACCTCTACCACTTCAGCTGGAAGGCTATTCCATGCATCCACTACCCTCTCAGTAAGGTAATACTTCCTGATATTATTTTTAAACCTTTGTCCCTCTAATTTAAGACTATGTCCTCTTGTTGTGGTAGTTTTTTTTCATTTAAATATAGTCTTTTCCTTTATGTATTTAAATGTTTCAATCATATCCCCCTGTCTCGTCTTTCCTACAAGCTATACATGTTAAGATCCTTTAACCTTTCCTGGTAAGTTTTATCCTGCAATCCATGAACCAGTTTAGTAGCCCTTCTCTGAACTCTCTCTAAAGTATCAATATCCTTCTGAAGATACGGTCTACAGTACTGCGTACAATACTCCAAGTGAGGTCTCACCAGTGTTCTGTACAATGGCATGAGCACTTCCCCCTTTCTACTGCTAATACCTCTACCTATACAACCAAGCATTCTGCTAGCATTTCCTGCTGCTCTATTACATTGTCTGCCTACCTTTAAGACATCAGAAATAAGCACCCCTAAATTCCTTTCCTCAGATGTTGAGGTTAGGACTCTATCAAATATTCTGTACTCTGCCCTTGGGTTTTTACGTCCAAGATGCATTATCTTGCACTTATCCACATTAAATATCAGTTGCCACAACTCTGACCATTTTTCTAGTTTATCTAAATCATTTGCCATTTGGCTTATCCCTCCTGGAACATCAACCCTGTTACATATCTTAGTATCATCAGCAAAAAGACATCTCTTACCATCAAGACCTTCTGCAATATCACTAATAAAAATATTAAAGAGAATGGGTCCCAGTCCAGATCCCTGAGGTACCCCGCTGCTGACAAGCCCAAGCTTCGAATATACTCCATTGACTACAACCCTCTGTTGCCTGTCACTCAGCCACTGCCTTATCCATTCTACAATATTGGAATCCAAACTTAAAGAATGCAGTTTATTGATAAGCCTTCTATGTGCAACAGTGTCAAAAGCCTTACTGAAATCTACGTAATCAAAACATTTGGCATGATCTCCCTGAAGTAATGTTATCGCTGATCTTGAAATCAATGTGTTTTTAGATGTTCAACAGTCTTATCCTTTAACATGGTATCCATTACTTTACCCACTACTGAAGTAAGGCTTACTGGCCTATAGTTGCCCGACTCCTCCCTACTACCTTTCTTGTGAATGGGCACAACATTCGCTAATTCCAATCTTCTGGGACTACTCCTGTTAACAATGATTGATTAAATAAATCTGTTAATGGTTTTGCTAGTATACCACTATGCTCTTTTAATAACTTTGGGTGTATTCCATCCGGTCCCATTGACTTATTTGTCTTTAGTTTTGACAGTTGAAATAAAACCTCTTCCTCTGTAAACTCACATGTAATAAATGGCTAATTTGTCCTTTTTTCTAACCGAGGTCCCTTTCCTTCATTTTCATCTGTAAATACTGAACAAAAATATGCATTGAGGTAGTCAGCTAAACCTTTATCCTCTTCTATATGCCTTCCTTCTTTTGTTTTTAATCTAACTAATCCTTGTTTTACTTTCCTTTTCTCATTTATGTATATAAAAAATGTTTTGTCCCCTTTTTTTACTGACTGTGCTATTTTCTCTTCTGTGTGTGATTTGGAGGCTCTTATAACTTGCTTAGCCTCTTTCTGCCTAATCTTATAGATAATTCTGTCTTCCTCACTTTGTTTTTTTATAATTACTAAATGCTAACTTTTTGTTTTTTACTATTTTGGCCACATCTGCGGCGTACCATAGTGGTTTCTTGAATTTTACAAGCCTAATGCAATTTTCTGTTGCCTTCAGCAGTGCAACTTTTAAATAATCCCATTTCTCTCGGACTCCATTTAAATTGCTCCAATTTGATAATGACTCCTTTACACATATTCTAATTTTAGAAAAGAGTGTTTTTTTTAATGTTGAAAACTTTTTTGTTTTTGTGTGGTGTGACTCAGTCACTGTTCTTAAATTAAACCACACTGACTGATGATCACTGTATCCTAAACTTTCGCCTACAGTAATATGTGTTTAATTTTTTGAGATTCTATGTCTTGAATCATGTTGGGAGTCATGTCTATATTTTCTCAGGCTAGGGGTTTGAGTTTTTCACCATCTAACATTAGTATCCCTTTGGCCCCTGGATTGGATATTATGTAACACACTTCTATATTGTTTTGTATCTTTTCTGATATTTGTGTTTTATTTCCTAGCTTCTCTTATAGTGGTTAGAGTTTTTGATACATATTCCTCCTGGAACATCAGGTTGTCGCCTGTAGTGTATTGTCCTACAGTGGGGGAGTTTTGATTGGCCGTCAAGTGGTAGCCGCAGCGAGTGCGGCTTTCCCGTTCCCCGTGGGATGAAGGGGACTGTCCTCGCTGGGTCCCATCTCGGTGCCACTGCTGTTTTTTCAGGTGCAGCTGTGGGTGACAGCCCCTCCATGGGCAGGCCCAGCAGGGCCAGCAAGGCATTTGCATCTTGAATGTCCAAAATGGAGTATGTCTGGTTGTCGTGCTAGATTCGTAATGTGCGCAGTGTGCGCCAGCGGTAGTTAATTTGCTTGCCCCATAGCAGTGAGGTGAGGGGTTGTAGGGACCTGCGCCACTGCAGGGTCTCCCTGACAGGTCCGCATAGAATAGTGTCATATCTTCAAAGTTGTAGGTGGCAGATCCCTTCAGGGCTGCCAAAACCGCCATCTTGTCTGTCGGGCTTTGATATCTCACCACTTGGTCTCGGGGGGCCACCGCAGGGGCTCTCCGGGGTTTCTTGATCTGGAAAGCTGCCTCAAAGCCAATGTAATGTCAGCAGAGCTCCCGAGAGCCACCTCAAGAGGTGTGGGATTTCTTCTGCTGGAATATCCTCCGGGATTCTGCATATCTTTAAATTATTGCGGCTCCTGGCATCCTCCATTGCCGTGAAGCGCTGGTCGGTTTTGGCCTGCTTTTGTTTAAGAGCCTGGATTTCCTGCTTGAGCTCTGCAATATCTTGTGCTTGCCGTGTGGAGGTAGCTTCGGCCGCGTCGAGGTGGCTCACCAGGCCCGTGAGGTGTGACATCCGCCAGGAGAGTTTTCTGCAGGTCACCCAGGAGAGTCTTCAATAGCGTTGTCGTGACCGGTTCTGCTGCCGCTGAGCTTGGTGACAGTTGTTGGGGTCTCTCTGGAGGTAGGCTGATAGTGGCGTCATCTGGGTAGAAATCCCCTGAGTAGTCAGAAAAATCCTCAAGGTCGGCGGCCTCCTTGCGCCTGGTGGAAGATATCTCGAATGCTGGCCCTCTGTTTGGGTCGGTCCGGTTTTTGTTTTTTTGTCTTTCTCCCCATTGCCGTTCTGGGTCATCTGCGTGTTAATTTTAGTGGTTGGGTGGCCAAAAATCGTTAGGTTACACTGGGTATCCACGGAGCCCATCTACCCTGCGTCTGCTCTGATCGGCTGTTAGACTGTGCTCCCCACAAGTGCCCTTTTGAGTAACAAGACTAAGATAGATTTCTACATTTATTTACTTACTATACCACAGATTAAATTGATATCTCTTATTACACTGGCCTTCATGGATAACCATTCCAATTCACCCTCCTAATTAGACACAGCTCAGTTCCCCTAATTATTGCAACTCTTTGCAACACTGTATTGGGTCTATTAGCTAGTGTATCTCGATTTCAAGTGGGTGTGTAATTACCATTGAAGTTCTGACAATTGGTCCTATTATATTTACTTTACGTTTTCTTTTTTCGAATACATTTTTTTGACACTTTCATTACATTTATTATCTTTTGGTGTGTGATTTCTTTACCCGTATAGAGATTCAATAAAGTTTGTGTTTTTAATCAAGGCACCTAGCCAATACCTGTTTATTTAATTCAAACAAGGGTAATAGGATTAGTATTGGTCTTGTTTTTTGCAAGCTTAGTCTAATCTCTCTCAGCATATATCTATATCTACTTATCCATTTACTCCTTATTCCCTAATCAATACTTTAAGGTTTCTTAATTTCTTTTATACTATTATTAACTATTTCTTTATTATATGTATTTATGTGTGTTTAACAGTCACTTAACATATACGTTATTCTAACATAATAATGTTATGTACCCTTCATCCCCTCCTAATGCAGCCACTTTTACTTGCTTATTTATATTCCCCTCCTAATATGCGGGAGTCCTTGCATTTACTGGAATGCAACGCCATGTTCTGCGTTCCACTTATGATGTAAGAATTAAAATCTCATTAAAGTCCAATTCTGTGAAACATACAATAAAAGCAATCACACACCTTTTAAAAGGAAAAGGAGACATTAATAGACACCATATTGCTAATGTGGGAATTCTGTACCATAATATTTATAAATATATGTATACTAAAAATATATATATATAAAAAAATAGGTGATTTCCTATAAAAAGCATTTATATACACACACACACACACACATATATATCAACCTTTTTTTTTTTTTTTTAAATAAAGTGCCATCTAAGGATTAGAGAGTTTAGCCCATGAAGTGACACAGTTCAAAGTCTTGATTTAAACCATGAGGGATCATTGTACTGAAACTAAAAATAAACGTAATTTCTTCCATCCCAATTTTCTTGTTATAATCTCCCCCTTTCCAATCCTTTTTGACCAAAACTGGGCCCTGCTGAGCCTGCCCATGGAGGGGCTGTCACCCACAGCTGCACCTGAAAAAACAGCAGTGGCACCGAGATGGGACCCAGCGAGGACAGTCCCCTTCATCCCACGGGGAACGGGAAAGCCGCACTTGCAGAGGCTACCACTTGAGGGCCGATCAATACTCCCCCACTGTAGGACAATACACTACACAGGCGACAACCTGATTAATTGTTATTATTCTCTCCATTCAAATATGAAACGCAACACAAGGACTAGCCTCAAGGGTCCCTGTAAAGGAACGCTGCGAACATAACAGTAGAAGATGCCCCAGTTACCTGTTTCATGAACTTCCATCTCTAAGTATTTATTATTGCCTTAAACATGCAATTTTAGATATGAGGAGCTTCAAATATCGGGGCACACCTAGTATCACACACCTGAAAATGAAACACACCACACAGCCCAGCTACATCAGCTACATTCGCAACCACAGGACAGCCCGACGGAGAATGGACCATCAAAAGCTCGTCCACTTCTTTTTCACCCACTCCCCCGGCTCACAGGGGATTCCAAACCTACATGGCAGGCCACAAACCACCCGAATCTCTCTCACAAGCACTCCATGCACAAGGTCCAAAGGACGACCACACACATCAGGCACTGGGAATGCCATGTTAATTATGTTAATTAAATATAAATTGTGCAGTCTAAACAAAGCCATATTATTGACCAAAGTTGAATGTTATTAATGTGCTTGAAACAGCTATTGTGTCTGTTACTATTTGTACGTAAAAAATAAAGAATAATAAAAAAAAGGGCACTTGTAAGTAGGAGGGTGGATAGAGTCTCTAGTAATGGCTATAACCGATATATGGGGTGAATTGAATGCAGAAATCCCCAAATTAGTTGCAATTGGGACACTAGCGATAAGTAAAGAAGAAGCCCCTACTGGCCAATCCTAAACAAAATGCTGTAAAGAGCTGTGAAACCTGACCGGACTCTGCTAGTATGGAGTCTTGGGTCTGATATAGCACTATTTACGTATAGCTCCAGGACACAGAAAGCGATTATAATAGTATAGTAGGTAGGACAATCAATTATATTCCAAACCTACACAACAGCAAGGTGAATAGATTGAATCTCTGATACTAGGTATGACAGATATTTGGGGTAAGAGAAATGCAGCATATCCCACATTTTTACACTAACAAATTGACTGCTTGCAGTATAAGAGAAGAGCCCCAATTAGTATATCTTAACCGATCATTAATGTGCTAGGTAGCTGTTTAGAAGAACTGCAGATCCTGGCAGCACTCTACAATGCTAATATAGAGAGCCGTGGGTGATGTAGCACTTAGATATTGCAGCAAAAATCAAAAGATGATAAAAGTATGATAAATATAGGCAAAATCACCTTAGTGCTGTGCTATTATGAATTCCAAGCGATTTGATTAAATAAATAAAGTTTTTGTTTTTAATCAAGGCACCTAGCCTAATACCTGTTTTATTTAATTCAAACAAGGGTAATAGGATTAGTATTGGTCTTGTTTTTTGCAAGTCTAGTCTAATCTTTCTCTGCATCTTCATTTTAGGTTATGCCCTAATTACCCTTCAACCAATACAAACTTGGCGTCAGATTTCCTCTCGCTAAGTCTGTCTATCTTTAGATATAGATATAGGTATAAGAGGGATATTATAAAGAGTTAAAAAAAATCAACGTCTACATTTAAACATTCTGGAGCAAGGGTTTTCAAAAGGAAAAGCCAATACATTTCTTTTTGCCCTAAAGTGTTTTTATTATCTCCACCTCTCCAAGGGAGTTTACATATTTGGATTCCTATACATTTCAGAAATTTGGGATTTTTTTTAAAAAAAATTCTTTATTTTTCAAGTTTTCAACTGTTAACGTGGGGTACAGAATAAAGAAAAAAGGGGAGGGGTACAAGTACAATCCTTATATTCGGGTGAGTTACGATTTGACTTTTCAGGGTTGGGGATAAAGAGACTGAGACAGTTGTGGTTGGCGTATCGGGTGTCATTAGCGATAGTCTCTTGCTCTGACGTTGGCTGTTGGTCTCAAGGATGTTAAGGAGGTGGGCTGCGAGTCAGTGGCTGAAATTTGGGATTTTTTTCAATGTTTTAAAAAAAAAAAAAAATGTTTAGCGTGATTAGGATATCCTTTAATTATAAGGCAACAATGCTCTGCCAATCTAGTTTTTAGGCACAACGAGATTTTCTTGAGCAGTGATTATGATTTAAGACAATAATTTAAGATCAACTTTAAGTAGGTTTACAATTTTAGTGTAAACATTATATGCAGTAGTATAACTTGAGAATGAACAAATATGTCACTGCCCCACATCCGTTCATGTAGCCAACACTAATTTTATGGGATATTACAGTCAAAATTTCAACATGGAATGGTAACAGATGGCCCTTGTTTGTAGCTCTGCCAATATAGTATCGTAAATAACCCCAAAAAAAAAAAATTTGATTTTAGTAGAAATGGACTATGCATTTTTGATCAACATCTGGCCAAGAAAATGTATAGATAAATTTGTAATTATCTTAAAAAGGATTCCATGTCATTTTTGAATGACACTTTAATAATTTAAATACTGAATATTGTATTATTAATAACTCGCAATGCGTCTCTGGATAGAAGTCGTGTTTGGCCTGCTTTTAGAAATAATTACAGGGATTTGTAACTATCTCTTAAACTATGTTATTAGTTTATGTGTTTTAACCAAAGGCCACAAGAGAATCCACTGAATCATCCCTGATTAACATAAAGAAGATCGTGTAATTACTAGCTACTGCAGCATTGTATTTACCATTCTTTGTATGCATACAAAAGCTTGATTGACTGAAGAAATTATATACCTTAGCAGCCACATCTCTCCAGGAGCATTTATGAATTTGCTTAAACACAAAAGATCATTCCCAGGATATAAATCGTTGAACACAATTTGTAGATCGATTCCCATATTAACCATGATTTTTATATTCCATGTAATTAGCAAAACCATAGTGTTAAATACAAGAGCGAGTAGAGAGTGTTTCAAACATGTTTCAAACATGTTGTTTGCTTAAGCTTCTGTTCACACAAGGATAATAATTATTAGTCTATGAAAGATAGCTGTTTAAATTATTTCTGAACTTCAGATTATCGCAAATATGTATTTAAATGCATCTGACAGGTTGTTGCTCTGAAGGCTTAAGAAGCATTATACATTTCCCAAAGAGGTCTGACTCGCCACAAGTCTTGCAAATCTTCAGTGTAACGTAGGCGATTTGACCTCACATCAAAGGGTAATGTATTCAAAATTAGACGTTAATTCTCCTAAAGTCACATGGATAATAATAATATGATATGATTATATATGACAGATGTGCAAATAGTCCCTTATTTTATCCATTCCATTTTTTGTATCATGAATGTGAAATTACTTATAATGAAGTTCCCAAGTGCAACCTGCATTAACTATGACAATGCTATAAAGTGTTTATAAGTAATTGTCAATCCCTCTTCTTTTGTTTATATGTAGTAAAATAATGATAATAAGTGGTTTAGGGATTATGTAAATTCAAGACATTTAAGGACATTATAGCATGCCACCATAAAGTGTCTAAATAATTATGGGTTCAAATGCTTAAAATGCTTTTGAGCTGACTCCTTACAAAAAAGTCACACACAATTGATTGTAAATATTCCACCTGGCTGATTGACATACCAGAAAAGTGGCAAAACCATGAAAAAAAAATTATATCTCCATAGTGAAACCTTTTGAAAAATA